TCCATTATTGTTTTGATATCTACATTTGTAGTTTGAGACCCTTCATTCTGGGGACTTTTCCTTGTTTGTATTCCAAAGTCAGTTTTCTCAGTGTCTGCTCTCCCAGGCATCTGGGAGAGACCCATACTCTTCTTTTGGTTTTTCTTCATTTCTGTAGATTTTTCTCCCTTTACCCCTTTCCCTCCCCCTCTTCAATTCTGTTTTTGAGGGAAGGTGGGGTTGCTTTTATTTCTCTTCTGCAATGACCTGTTCTTCCTTATGAGGGTCTTCTGGTTTTGTTCACTTTTCCCTCTGCTTTACAGTCTGTCTATTCAGCAGTTTGCAGTCTTGGTCCGTTCAGAGAATCTCACCAGTTCACCTATGCCGTCGCCATCTTGCCCCGTCTTCTCTGATTCAATTTTTTAAAAAAATCAATCAATGTAACTTATAATCTCACCCAGTACACGCTGTGTGTCTCTGAGTCGCTGTAGAGGTCTCTGTGTTCTGGGTTTGCCAACATTCCAGACCTATGTTTTTTTCTATGCATACATAGTTATGCTAAAGTTTAATTAATAAATCAGGCACAGTAAGAGATTAGTAACAATAACTAATAATAAAGTAGTACAATTATAACAATATTCTGTAATAAAAGTTGTAAATGTGGTCTCTCTTTCACACACACACACACACACACAATATCCTTTTGTACTGTACCACAGGTAACTGAAACCATGGAAGGCAAAACCACATATAAAGGGGGACAATTGCACATACTTTTTTTTTAGGGTGAGGGTCCACACTTTTCACAGGTTTCAGATTACCATAAGGTCCTAAAAGAAGCACAGCTATAGCACTTGCTTAAGTCCCTGATCCTGTTCTAGTCCCAAGAGAAGTAGTGGTAAAGTTAGGGTGGGGAAATTTGAGGGGAGATAAAAAGATCAGGGTTCAAGACTCTCATGTCTGGATATGGACTTGGGCACATCTTGAGTTCTTCCTGGCTCTTACTTCTCCCTGCTTTGTTTATGGAAAGGCTTAGACTGGCTTTTCTAAGCCCTAAGAAGAACAGCGTTCTCTCAGTGTGTACCATGCCTTTTGCAGTCTTTGTGGCCCTCCTCACAGTGTGACAGGATGTGGTAGGACATCAAGAACCAATTTCATGCTGTGGACCGAAAAGGGCCCAAAGGCTGGCTTCTTCACGATTTGGGAAATGTTCATAGAGATAGGAAGCATTATACAGAGCTTTAGAATACTAAATGAGATCTGCTCAGACTTTTCCAGCACCTCAGAAGGATGTTCAGGGATGGGTATTCAGGCCATCTCTGTCTCTGTCTTGGACACTTCCAGTGGCTGAGCTAACAGTTGAGTCTCTGTGGAAATTACTAGTTCATGATTCTACTTGTAGTTTATTAAGGTGTTTTAATTCTAGCATCTGTTGAGAGTTACTTACAATAATTTTAGTTACTTATATATTATATATACATTTATGAGGATTTTAGGCTATTCTTCTTATTGCTGGCTATCCCTTATTATCATTTCTTAAAATTAATTTGAATGGAAAATTTATCTTAGATATGTTTCATATCTCTCCAGTGTCATTTGATTTTTTAAATTGAATATATACATATACTTTTCTGTTTTACGTAAGCAATTTATATTTACTTAAATAATGTCTGATATATTCAGTGAGCAGTTTCACAACATAAAATTTTAAATTACAAAATACACACCTGGGCGTTTTGTTGTGTGATTTAATGTGCAGTGTTACCTTGAATTTTATCACTGAGATCATCTTCCCTTTTTGTTTTACTTTTTAAATTGACTTAGTAAAATATTCTTTTCCTAGAAAGAATATGGAAATGTATTGGATAGCACTTGTTTTAAACTAAAGACTTCTGAAATTTTTAATTATGAAAATGTGTTATTGGAATTTTGTGATATAAGCATGTTTATATAAGGTAAATTCAATCAATTAAACAGATCTCTTTATTTATTATTGTCGTAACTATCCCCTCCAGTTGAGGAAATATTTGGAGGTAACCCAAAACTATAAGATGCTGTCTACATGTTAGTAGCATCTTTTAAATATTGGAATGCATTTAGTTTGTTTAAACTCTGCTTCCCTAGACTTTAATGTACTATATGTTATATATTTCAGAAACTCCAGAAAGGAACTTAATGACATACGGTTTGAGTTTACTCCAGGAAGAGGTAAGTCTTAATTAAAATTATTATTTCATTGCCACAAAGAGCATTTCAGAAATTGATTACAAGTATGTGGTTGTAGTCTGCTATTTAAACAACTTTGTCTGAAAACAAAGGAAGGACGGAAGGAAGGAAGAAAGGAGAGAGGGATGGAAGGACTTTTAGTAATTTTAAAGATTCCAAACTGAGCCACTGCTGACTACATGAATCCCAGTGGCACATGCTACACAGTATATATATAAATATAAATTAGATATATTAGCTAAAACCAGGAAAACAAGTACTGGTATGATAATGCAGACCCTGAAGACAATTATGATGAGTGTAACGAGAAGCATACAGAAGTCCTCTTGAGGGTTGAGCAGCAGACAGTGGTATCATACAAAAAGGCAACATACTTGCCTCTATGTTCTCAGTTCAGATGCTATGAAACCTCTCTTGGAGAGTGTCTGTGGCTTCTGTTTGCTGCAGGCACCACAGGTAAGCTTGATAGGAACAATGCCAGTTTTGCAGCTAAACGCAATGTGAATATTTTAAATGGTTATTACAACTGCTTAAGGGTTAGACTGGTTATTCCTTCAGCTTCTGGATGCCTGGAAGTCTTAGGACCATGTGTTAATTTTTGTTATCTTTTGCACCTGGCAGAGCCTGGAATGCAGGAGAACCTCAAATAACCTTGGTTAATTAATGGATAAATAACATATCTGAGCAGTCTCCAGAGACCATAAGAATAGCTGTTAAAAAAAATTATTATTTCCACTGTTTAGTTTACAGCCACAATGCCCCAGAGAAGTAAAAATTAGATTCTACTGCTGAGGCTATAATTGTTTTCCCTGACCTCTGGTATTAGATTTTTATGGGCATGAAAACATTTTCCTCAAAAAATTTAAAAATTTTTGAAAGCCTAGAAGTACAAGAACTTTCTATTTGATAGCTGGTTGGTCAGTAAATGGCTTTGACCCTTTGACCTCCCGGCTGTTATCACCTGCAAGAAGACAGAAACTCAAATAAATACCCACAAGAGCCAAAATGAATGATGGCCACATTAGGAAACTAGAGAATCTCATCTAAATACATTAATGTTCAGTTTTTAAAAACATTCTACCAAACAAAATATGTTCCTGGGCCAAACGTGGCCATGGACTCACTGGTCTGTGGTTGCTAGTCCTCTGTAAATGTTAAGATTTAATGATTTCCAGTATATTAGTATTAAACTAAAATATGAAGTATTTTTTACAAAATAAATGTATATAAGACCCTAGTGGATTTGGCTAATTATCTTTCTTTTCAGAGATATCCATCGTTGACAATTAGTGTTGGCTTATGAAATTGTACAGCACCAGTTAGGGTTATCAAAAGGCAATCTATTTTGTCATAATATAAAATATTGACTAGACCATGCTCTGAAAAAATCTAGTAATTATATAATAAATGTTTCAAGTACAGCAAATAGAAAGAATGGATTCTTATTGTAAGATTTGTTTCTTTTCATCTGTTTGTTTTAAATGTACTATGGCAATGAAACTCAATTTTAATTTTAAGAGGTAACAAAGAAATAAATAACTGAGTTAAGAATTTTTGTGGATAAGATGGTCCTATCGGCATTACTGGGCCATTTGCACTGGCTGTGGCAGCCTGGTTTGCCGTGTTTAGCTTAAGAGGCACTGCTTTTGTTGCCCAAACGAGCCCATAGCATTGTCTTCCTGGTGATAGCTGGCCTACCCTGGGCAGCTGAGACCAGGCCCGCTATTAACGGAAGCACTGTGTATATATCACTGTACTTCTGTGATTATAGACTATCTGTATTCCAGGCATTGTTTGCAGTAAATCTCTTTATGCATACCACATGTGCACTATGTTTTTTTGTGCTGTATTTACACATGAATAAGTATATATTACATCAAATACATAATATTAACATACAAAATATCCTGTCCTCATTTGAGGACAAGACTTTTGTGTTTAATGTGTTGCTCTAGAAACCAGACATTAATGTGTGATTATTTAACCTGTCTAGGAATCATAAATGTTAAGCAGCTTAAAGAAAGAATAGATTACAATGAAACCTGAAATGACAGTTTTTTCACATTTCTGTTCTAAACCATTACTGATATCTTACATGCATACAAAATGACTGCCTAATGGCACACACAGATATGGAACATTTCCTATTTTGGTCAGCCAACATTACTTCTTTGCCATTTTGATATGACTCATCTGGTGCCCAGGAGTCCTGAAAATAGTAGAACACGCTGTGTGATTTAATCATTCAGGAATGTCCATCACTGTGGTATTGTTTTAGTGTTATTCTTCAATATGCCTTTGTTTAATTATTTCATTTTCAACTACATTCTGTGTTGTAACTCCTTACTCAAGTGTGGGATCTTATTGACACTTTAGAAATGGTCGTAACATGCCCAAACGCTTTAACAGTTTCTCAATCAATAGAAATATAATGGCTACCTACTGTATGCCCAGTGCCTATTAGGTGTCAAGTACTTTAATTCAATATGCTTCTTTCCCTAAAGATTTAATTAGCATCCAGGAAGATGGAGGCTATGAGGGTGAATGTTCTTGCGGCTTCAGAAAACTAAATCATGTTCAAAGGAGAGCCTTTCATCATGCTATCCTAGGTTTCATGATTATGATATCATTTTATCATGAAGAGACTTTATAAGGTGTTTTTTGTACTTGTAGCAAAATAGATAAGGCCCCAAACTTACCTTGTTATGGACTTTCATAGTTTAGTAAGATCCCTGTATATTTCTTTGCCATTTGTTTCATTCTGTTCCATTTCATTTTAAAATGCACTCAGTAAAATGGTAGAATACCACAATTTCTCTGGATGTATAAAGAATATACATTGGGCATATTTTTTTTTTTTGACGATTTGGGAAGTTAGGCCATGTAGGGAAAGGAGAAAGAGTGTACACTAGAGTGTAAAGCACGTCTCAAATGGTCTTTGGCTTCTGCATCATCTTTACAGTTACCAATTACTGAGTACTCACCATGTGTCAGACACTGAGCTAAGCACTTCAAAGCCCAAGAATTGTGAAAGATGAGGGCCTCCAGCTTCATGCTTGCACATTTATGCACACACATATGCACACACATATACACGTACACACAAGCCCACTTACATAGCACATGAGAAGCACAAGTGAAATAAGTAAACTCAATTTATGTTTAGGGCCGCTTTTGGTATGACGGATTGTAATTCAGTTTAGATGCTTGATGTAGCAGCTTTATTTTCAGGTACTCTGTGACTTTGGAAGACCTTAATGTCAAACCTCCATCTACATTGCTACAGGCAGCTGAGCTGGTTTCTTCTTTTTAAAAAAAAATTTTTTTTTTATCTTAATTTAATTGGGGACTCACTCTGTCACCCAGGCTGGAGTACAGTGGCATGATCATGGCTCACCGCAGCCTTGAACTCCTTTGCTAGGGTGATCCTTCAATCTCAGCCTCCCAAGTAGCTGGAATCATATGCACATGCTACCATACCTGGTTAATTTTTTTTGTTTTTTTGTAGAGTCTAGGTCTCACTATATTGCCTAGGCTAGTCTTGAACTCCTAGACTGAAGCAGTCCTCCTGCCTTGGCCTCCCAAAGTGCTGGGATTACAGGCATGAGCCCCTGAACTTGGTCCCTATTTCTTCTTACCAAACTACTCCTGGATCTTTGTGAGAATATCCATAGGCCCTGGCGGCTAAGTCATCTCCCTTCTAAAAACATAGGGGTTTATAATGATTCTTTTGAGAACATTGCAATTTATCAAGTTTTCTTTACAAAGTCTTCAAATAGGAGATAACAGTGTTATCATGTCCATTTGTAACCTTTTCATTAAGTTATTCCAACTGTATTCACTTACCACTGTCTGTTAAGTCCCATCTTTGTGAGATTACTAACTCCTGTCACTTATTATTGAGAAACTACATTATTTTATTCAACCACATCTTGTAAGAGAATGAATATGTTGCTATCAAATGATCAATGTCACGTTAAAAGAGTTCTTAATAGCATAAATTGAAATAGCTCATCTTAATATCCCAACAAGCTCATAGGCTATTTGTATTAAATATAAGGTTGTATCGGATGCTACCTATTCAACCTTTGCCATAAATTCTGACTCAGTAGCTACTAATGATAGAAAAGGATTGATGATATTAAAAATTAACCTTGACAAGAAAGAAATGCAGTCATAGTGATAACTTCTAGTGCATTTGAGGATTAATTTAGATAGTAGCCAGAAGGCAAAAGTTTTTTAGTTCACCAGAAATGGAAAAAATAATTTTGTATAACTTCTGTTGAATAAATAGCAAGATGCAAATTGCACATGACAAAATGTATTTCGTGTTGCTTCTGAATTTTTTTTTCCTGATAGAATCTGAATCGTTGAATTAAAACTTTTGTGGGTGATTTTAGTAAATGAAAAATATATATTTTACATTGTACTGGATTGTTGACTTTTATTTTATGGTAACTAATACATATTCATTTCACATTTGGACAGATACGGCAGATGGTGTATCTCAGGAGCTCTTCTCTGCTGGCTTGGTTGATGGTCATGATGTAGTTATAGGTAAATTATTTTTTAGTATGCAGTGTCATTTTGTTGCTATATCAAATGGAAATGTGTTTAGCAGCAAATGTTTTCATTAAGGAATAATTCACTCTGAATTTTTGAAAATTTCTTTGTGAATTTTTATCTTTTATGTAAAAGTATATTTAAGAATCATATTTAATTTTTTCCAGAAACTTTTAATGTAAATCTGTCCCATTTATCTGGACATGATTTATCCAATGAGGAGGCTCACGTATTAGAAATATAACAAAGAACTTAGAAGTAGGTCTCAAAAGTCCATGATGTAGCAAAAGTAAGATGCTTAAATTCTATGCACCAAGATACAGGAACCTCTGAGGCCCTTTCTCAGAGTTTCTATATTCTTTCTTTGGACAGTTTTAATAAACTCAGATGTCAGTTTTCCCAACTGTTAACAGTATTCATTAAAAATCTTAAGGTCAGGTGGGACTTTAAAGATAATTCAGGCCAGTTCTTTCATTGTATAGATACGGAAGTGAGTTCCTAAGGAGGTTCAGTGGTTGTCTAGAGCCATGCAGGTAGGTTGTGGCAGAGCCATTTCACTTGGAAACTGTGGGTCTTTCTATGACTTTTAGAATCCAAAGATAGCTGCATGGAGATAGGGGAGTCTGCTAGACTTAGGCATGCTGATAGGAGCAAGCACCAACCGGTGGACCTCCTGGCAAGGCAAAGGAGGTGGAAGAGCTCTACCAAGGGTGTGGGTGTGCTCCCTATTATGCAGCAAATTCTGAGTTTATAAAGATTTTATAATGCAGTTGTTGCTGTATAGTCTTAATGAGGACCCTAAGTAATCAAGATTAGTTAACATACTAATGCTTATTATGACATTATAGTAATTATATTAACTATAATAATAACATATTAGGAGAATGTATATTATGATAACACCTTATTCAAAAATATTCAGCTCAGAGCTCTTGTTTGAAATGACATACTCCTCTTAAATATGTTTTAGTTAAAATAAAAATAACTTAATCAAAATAATCCCTTCCCCAGTAATGCTGGAGTATGTGATTGAGGGAGTTTGAGGTGGATACATATATCTGTCAAAATTTGTTCCTAGAAATGTTGTAATGTAGATCATGATAAAGCAAATCATTTTATTCAAATAAGAGTAATTTGGTTTATAGTGGGAGAATAGAATTCTGACTAAAGAAACAGAATATGTTCTTTATATACAATATTTTATTTGTATACATCTGTGTGTGTGTGTGTGTGTGTGTGTGTGTATGTAGCCCCTTACATGTCTTGTCTTTCACACTTTCCTTTACAATCTTGTGAAATTTCATGGCCAGCTGAGCTATCACCTAAGTTTTCTAATTGAATGTGAGGGAGAGGCTGAGAAAAAAGTCAATTCAATTTTGGTATCTACTTTAAATTCCATCTCAAAGTTCTTTATGCTAACCTGCCAATCCTTGATAAAGATAAACACTCTTATTCTCATTAGGAAAAATAAGTACACACCTTTGTATTTGAGTTCACCTGAAGAAATAGGGAGGAAGTTAATGGCTAGATCAGGGGATCCTGATTGATATATACATTTTTTGAAGCGTGCTATGGTCTACATAAAGCAGCCAGAATTAAAACTTAATTAATCAATGGAGTGAAAATGATAATAAAATAAATTTCTTATAAGCATCTACTAATGTCTCCTGTTGGACAAGAAATCAAGTATCAAATTGTCTTTTGACTTGTTTGGTACTGGCTGATGGTTGTAATCATGAAGTATAAAAGGGATTCATGGAAAGGTGTTAGGTCACATCTTTTTTTTTTTTTTTGAGTTGGAGTCTCACTCTGTCACCCAGACTGGAGTGCAGTGGCACACTCCCGGCCACCGCAGCCTCGATTTGCTGGGCTCTGGTGATCCTTCGACCTCAGCCTTCCAAGTAGCCGGAACTACAGGCGCATGCTACCACGCTTGGCTAATTATTGATTTTTTGTAGAGACGAGGTCTCGCCAAGTTGCCCAGGTGTGTCTCGAACCCGTGGGCTCAGGCAATCCACTTGCCTCGGCCTCCTTATAGGCTGACCCACCAAGCACAGCCTACATCTTTTTTTAAACATGGTCTTGCTTTAGGCCTGTAGTCAAATTTAATGTACTTATTTTTTTTGCTTCAGTCTCAGCTGAATCTAAGAGGGTTTTGTTGTTGTTGTTTAATTTTTAAAGGGAGGAAATTAAAAGATTAAGGCAGAGTTCATATACAATTGTGTGCTTCAAATATAATATATAACCATAAAGTTTCTATTTTCCTATGCCTTAATCATTCATTTTTCTTAAAAATCTTCAACTTGCCTTTTTTTCTCTCCTTCCTGGAGCTGAAGTATTCCTGTTGTAAAGAAGTGGAGTAAGAACAAGCATGTGTAGCTCTTTTTTATACAAGAGGGGACCCCCCCAAAAACCCTGAAGTTATTTTTTTAGAGTCCAGACCACTTGTAATTTGTTCCTCCAGATCAAACCCTTAACCAAAGTTCTTATCCAGAAGGGTTGAAAAGTTTGTATCATGATTTGCAGAAGAAATATCCCGAGTTATGGCAAACAGGCAACTGATTCTTCCAACATGACAGTGCACTAGCCCACAGTGCACTAGCCCACACTGCACTGAGTGTTCAGCAATTTTTGATCAAAAACGGCATGTCTCCTCCCTATTCACCCAATCTTGCCCCAAGCGACATTTTTTTGTTTCACCAGATTAAAAAAGTCCTCAAAGGGAAATGTTTTGCTGATGTGGAAGAGGTGAAACAAAAAATGGCAGAAGCACTAAAAGGCATCAAAATTGACAAGTTCAAAAACTGTTTTGAGCACTGGAAAAAAGCATCTCTTACCAGTGGAAAAGCATCTTGATAGGTACATTGCATCAAACGAAGAGTACTTTGAAGATGACTGAAGTTTAAACATGTAAGAATAAATACACAGTTTTTTATAAATAAATTCCAGGGGTTTTTTTGGGTCCCACTTGTATGTTAGCAATAAAAATGCCATGCATGGACATCACACTTAAGAGTTTACAGACAATGTTTGCATACTATATTTCATTTGATCATTACATCAGTTCTATAAGGTAGAAAGGACAGGTTGTTTTCAATTACTATTGTATGGACTGAAAACTGTTGTATAAACACATCTGGAATATTGCAACTTGTGGTCCTTGAACTTGGATCTTGTTGACTCTTTTGTGTTGCCACTCTGCATACAATTTATCTGATATCTTAAACCTTGAAAATGGATCCAGGTTATTTTTAACAATAGTGGTTCTTGTGTCTCCTGGGGAAAAACTAGCTTTTACTTATTTGTTTTTCCCTGGATCAGTGGACGTTTTCTATTTTAATTTTTGATTATTTGACAAACTGATTGTGCTTGATTTTGTTCCCTCTAACCAATCCCAGCAAATCTCTACTCTGTCCCTCATCATCTCTTTCCCTCTTTACTAAATATGTCCCACCAGCATACAAATATATTTTTATTTCTCCCATCTTCAGAAAGCCCTCTATTTGCCCACCTCCCATTATAACTATTTCTCTCCACCCCCTTATAACTAAATTTATCAAGAGAATTGCCCTAGATTCAATTCCTTTCTTATCACTATCTCTTGAACCCACTCCAGCCAGACTTTTGGCCTCCCCACTTCAATCGAACTGTTCCTTTTAAAGCCATAACTGGGGAAAACACATACCTGGCCAATGGAGTGGCCGGCCAGATGCACAGATAGGCAGGACTAGAGTGGAGGGAGTAAGGGAGGAGAGGTAGAGCACACGTGGCCTGAGAATGGCTGCCATGTTCGTAAATCTGAGGCTCATTCTAAGTCCTCATCTTGCTTGACTTACAAGTAGCACTAGACATAGTTGACAGTGCCCTTCTCCATAATAAGCCTTTTCATTTAGATTTAAAGCCTCCACTCTCTCTTTGTCCTCCTGCCTTACTGACGTTTCCTTCTCAGTCTTGCTTGTTGGTTCCTCTTCATCTCTCTGATCTGTACATCTTGATGTGTCCAAGAACCCTTTCCTTGGATCTTTGCTGTTTCCCAACTGGCTCCTTTAGTGATCTCATCTGGTTTCATGGTATTAAATACCTTCCTTACTTCACTCTTAAATTTATATTCTTGAACCAGACTTTTCCTTTGAATTTCAGCCAGACTCATGTCTGGCTCCCCATTTAGCATCTTCATTAGAGGGGTAATAGACATGTCAAATTTAATTCACCGCTCCAAAATTCAGCCTCTGGTGTTTCCTCTCAACTTGTCCCTCCAGGAATCTTGCACTCTTGATTGATGTCATTTCCACCTTTCTAGGTTTTCAGGCCAGAAGTCTGAGAGTTGTCCTTGACTTTTTCTTCATCCTCTACATCAAGCCCATTTGAATGTGCCCAGGATCCAGCCATTATTCATCATCCCATACCTCGTCTTATTTCAAGCCCCTCTCACCTCTCCGTTGAAATCTTGGATTCATCTCTTCACTGTTGTTCCAGCTTCCTTCCATGCTTCCCTTCATCCTGTTCTTGTCTCAGCAGACAGAGAGATCCAGGAGAAGTAAATTAGATGAAAAGGCCACATATCTGGACGGGCTCGGTGGCTCAGCCTGTACTCCCAGCAATTTGGGAGGCCGAGACGAATGGATTGCCTGAGCCCGCGGGTTCGAGACCAGCCCCAGCAACTTGGCGAGTCCTTGTCTCTACAATAAATAAAAAGTTAGACGGGCGTGGTAGTCTGTACTTGTAGTTCCAGCTACTTGGAAGGCTGAGGCAGAAGGATCTCCAGAGCCCAGCAGGTTGCACTGCACTCCAGCCTGGGCGATAGAGTGAGACTCCATCTCAAAAAAAAAAAAAAAAAAAACAGCCGCATATCATATGATTCCATTTGTATGAAATGTCTAGAGTAGGCAAATCTGTAGAGTCAGAAAGTAGAATGGTAGTTGCCAGGGGCAGGGATGAGGGGAAAGGGGAGGGACTGCTAATAGGTGCAGGCTTGTTTTTGAGGTTATGAAAAT